TCATTTTTATTGTATCTTTATGCTATTCATACTTATTATATAGCAAGGGCACTCTGGTGGCATAGTGCCCAAGGCACTGACTGCTAACCAAAAGGCTGGCAGTTCAAACCAACCAGCCACTCCTCGGAAGGAAAGCTGGGCAATCTACTTCCGTAGTGATACCGCCTCGGAAACCCAAGGAGGGGGTTGCTATGAGTCAGATCCAACTCCATGGCAGTGAGTTTGTTTTTATTATTATTATTATTATTATTTTATACAGCGAGAAAAAACACACAATTTTATTTCAATTCAGCAAATAACCAGCAGCAAGATGAAAGAGTCTAAGCACTGCAATAAAAAATATTTTCATATAATTTACAAATGTAATAAAATCAATCAAATTAAGTGTTTTGTATTGAAAGCCACTGAAAATTGTAAATAAAATTTTAATCACTTTTCCACAGCGATACCAGTCTTAAGTTAACCACTTACCCAAGCCTGAATCCCAAATGGTTATGATGACCATTTGGCGGGGTGGGGGGGATGCTTACGCTCTGAAATAGTAATATAAATCAAGCCCAAAAGCAAAGATCTTTAGAAAGACATCTCTCTACTGTAACACTAAAATACATTATACCTGTCTGTGGTAGTTAAGTTCTGTGTGTCAACTTGGTTGGGCCTGGTTCTGAGTAGCTGGGCAGCTGGATATAGATGTTCCCCATGATCAGACTGGTAATCAGCTTCACAGTGGAATCTACTGGAACAGCTGAGTAGCTGCCCTAGGGAAGTGTTCTGCTTTCAGCATATAGGAAGAAACTTAGAGGAAGGTCTCTAGCTTTTTGGCCTGCTTGGACCCTGCATGTAGCTGAGTGTGTATACAGCAGCCTGCCATGTTATCTGCCGAGCTTGGGATTATTCCTGGACTTGAACTAATGGCCTGACATGCCGTCTGCTAATCTTGGGACTGTGCCATTTTACATGTCACCCTTGAGTCCATCAACCTCAGCAACCAGCAGCTGCCTGAGTTAAGAGATGTCTCCAGCTCCAGTGGGCCAAAAGCAAGACATGGAGCTGAAGCCCAAGGTCAAGGGGCCTTCACTCAACCTCTAGACCTAGCACTTTTAACTCAGACTTCTAGCCTCCTAAAACTGTAAGAGAATAAATCCCTCTTTGTTGAAGCCATCCCACTTATGGCACTTGTTAGGACAACACTCTACTAGTATTTGAATAAACAGTATGAGGAGTTGAGTCTTGACAATAAAACATAGGTATTGTGGTGGTTAAGTCTGTGTATCAACTTGGTTAGGACTGGTTGAGTGGCTGGGCAGCTGGATGTAGTATTCCCCATGATGAGACCAGTAATTAACTCCATGGTGGAATCTACTGTGAGCAGAGCTGCCTTAGCGATATGGTCTGCTTCCTGTATATAAGGAGTTGTTGTTGTTGTTATGTGCCGTCAAGTCGGACCCGACTCATAGTGACCCCTCCTTGGGTTACCAAGGCAGTATCACTATGGAAGTAGATTGCCCCATCTTCCTTCCAAAGAGTGGCTGATGGGTTTGAACCATCACCCTTCTGGTTAGCAGTCAAGTGCCTTAGGCACTACACTACCAGAGCTCCCTATATTAGGAGAAGCCTTGGGAAATGGTCTCTAGCTTGTGGCACGCTTGAACCCTGCATGTAGCCATGTCGTTGTTCAGTAGCCTGCCATGCTCTGCAGACCTTGGGACTTTCAATGGACTTAAATTAATGGCCTGCCGTGTGGTTTGGTAACATCAGGACTATGACATTTTATTTGTCAACCTTGGGCTTGTTAGCCTCAGCAGCCAGTAGCTGCCTGAGTGAAGAGATGCCTCTAGTTTCAGTGGGCCGGGAGCAGGAGGCAGAGCTGGACCCCAAGGTTGAGGGGCTTTCACCCAGCCCCTAGAACCTGGCACTTTGAACTTGGACTTAAAGCCTCCAGACTCTAAGAGAATAAACTCCAGTTTGTTAAGTCATCCCATTTGTGGTATATTCCTGTCAGAGAGGCACTAGGTAACCAGAACAGGTATTTACCCAAAATTTTCAGACTACAAAACCATACTATTGAAGAACCTTCCAAAAATTATTAAAGCAAACCTCTCTCCAAACTCCATTTTTAAACAATCCCAAACAGTGCACAATCTAAACAATAATGTATTCTCTGCAAATTAATTTAAGGACCCACATAAAGCAACTAGCCTCTCCAGAGAAACAAGGTAATTTAGACTTTATAATGATACAGCTTTGCAACTCTTCAGAATCCAGTTTATCGAATGCCTGATTACTAGTGCTATTCTGATGCAAATTCTAAAAATGTTACTCATTCAAAATTATGTATCAAGAAATAGTTGCCAATAAAACAATCTTCCCTTTATGGAAAATATTAACCAAAAATATGCTAAATTAACACAGAAGTGAACTAAACTTAATGAGCACTACCATTTTGTTTGGTTGGTTTTTTTTGTTTTGCTTTGTTTACCATGTAAATGTACTGGGCTAAGTACTTTACACAGGTTATCGCATACAATATTTTTTCCTGTAAGAGTTTCGCCTTCTAAATCCAGCCTACTGAAAGCATTAGTTAGTTATGCAGTAACTTTTGCTGAATACAGTATATATACATCATCACTTTTGTCACCTTAGGTGGCATACAATTTTAGATAGTACTTTTTGAGATCCTTCCCAAATGAAGTAACCGAGTTTTATGGCTATGTTTTTATTATATATATTACTTGTTTTCTCCATTAAAAACAAAATATTTATTTTCTATAGTAAAATCAAAACAGTGATCAATTGTGAAATGTAGCCTAAGTGATTAAGATTTCCAATCTTTAAAATGATACCAGTCACTATTTCATCAGTATTTTGGGAGATATTCAATTTAATATAATGCAATATACATAATTTAAAACAAATTTATTATGATATGGTTGGGGAGGAAATTCTGCTCATCAATTTGCAACAGACACACTAGGAACTTCACTCCAAAGAAAAAATAAAGGACAATTTTTGGCTGGCTAAGATTTACTACACTTCAGAACCATAATATTTAATCAACTAAAAACAGCAATAAGAGATTCTGTCAAGTCAGCAGTAACTCACATACCAGAGTAATATGTCATCTTAATAAAAGTGTAGTGTTTTTCCTGTATTGTTGCTGGGTGTCCTCGAGTCAATTTCATCTCACAGAGATCTCACGAGACAGAGAAGAGCTGCCTCATGGGGGCAAGTACATGAACAAGTGAAAAGATCACCAGGTTTTTCTATCACACTGCTGGGTGGGTTAAGAACTGCCCACCACTGGGCCACTAAGGCTTCTTTTTGGCTGTATTAGGCAGTCAATAAATGAACGGTCTAAATTGTTTACTGAATTTGTGTAATGCTTCATTGAAAATAAAAAGCCTTTATTTTAATGATTTACAAAATACTTCAATAAAGCAGAATGCATAATCATATTACATGTATAAATAGCTTAGGCTCAAGCTCAGAATAATCCTAACAATTATGATTAAGATCTCCAAAGATCCAAGAGATGAAAGTGAAGTATACAAAATTTCTATCCAGGATTGAGTATAAACCTGATGAATATGAAATTTGCTGTACTATTTTTAACTGAACTTTCAGGCCTTAGGTCAAAGTTTTGCCAGCAAAATACCAAAGTCAAAATGCTGGGAATGATTCCCAGAGTCTCTGTGTTGGCCTAGGAAAAACTATGCCCTCCACGCAATCAATCTTAACTCCAACTGAAAACTTCTAAAACATGTTATGGCATCATGCTCACATGACAATACACAACAGTAATGTGAAAATCGGTAAAAGAAAACGTCAAACACCTCTGATACAATACAGTGCATTACATTTTGCACATCATAAAGAAAGACACCTTTCAGTTAGTTCTTGCACTTTGGCCAAGCAGCACTGAGTCACTGTGCAAATGATTCCAGAAACCTCAAAGGATAACCAACTGCCTCTGAAGACAGTCACTGGAAAGGGAAGAGACTTTTTCTTATCATATAGTCACTAGTCTAATAGACTGGGAGTAGAATTGAACATCCAAGTTCTGGGGCAAAATGTCTGAAGAATCCAAGGATCATGCACCCAATTCCAGCCCTCTGGAGTTAATTTAATATCCAGAATACTTTTTTCACTTTCTTCTCCTCCCCAGGGGTAAGTAGAGCCCTTTTTCCCATAAATGCATCTCTACTTCACACTTATCAAATCGTCTGTGAAATATAATCTATCCTAACAAAAGTAAGAAATAAGTAAGCAATTTACAGTCCATTTCTAATTTGTAAGTATGCTCCTTTCTTAATCAAGCGCCAACTAGCAGCTTTTACGTGGTTATTATTTTGGATTTCAATGGCCGTCTTAAGAAAGGGATACAATGAAGATTTATTCACTCTACAATTTAGACTGATTCTTAATTTTCAACTCTGGTGCAACAATCTAGGGAAATTAAATCTACGGAAATGAAAATGCACCAAATTGCAACTACAGAATATTTGAAAACAGGAAAGCTAGCTAGCTATGCGCTTAAACATTGCAGACTAAATGGTGAGGGAAGCTCTCTAGTCATGTCTCTCAGCTGAGTACTCTCAACAGGGAGAGCAAGGTTCCCCCCTTGCTTGGACCTAAGACCCCACAAAGCAAATCACTTTCAAATTCACCAGTGTGGTGTAAAAGGAAAGCACATCCTCCATTCTACCTCCTCAAACCCAGTGGGTACGGAGGAAACAGAAGAGGAATGTTTCCTCCCAGTGATCCAATATAGGGGCACGGGGGATGGATGACACCAGCTCCAGGAAACACAAGAGTAGAACCAAGTGGATCTCTCCGGTTCGAACTTCGTCGCAGAAGTGTTAATATCCTGCCCCGGCTGCCGGAAGCTGGGCGGGGTGGGGCAGAATCTCCCTACACAGATGGGTGAGCACACAGGGGTGGGCAAAAGGGGAATTTAAGGTACAAGAAACGAGTAGGGATCTCAGGCCCCCGCCACCTACCAGCAAGCTCTCCACGTTGATGGGGGAGCGAGGGTCTCGGATCAGCGCCTCCAGCTTCCTCTGACGGCTCGCGCCAGCCCCGTCCCCCGGCACGGCCTCGGGGGCGCCGGGCATTTTCCCCGTCGGCAGGGGTCGGCTCATGCCGCCACCACCGGGCCCGCACTACCGCTTTCTAGCGCAGGGGTCCAGCCGCCTCGGGGCCTAGCGCCCCCACCGAACCACCGGCTCCGGGCGGGGATCCGCCCGGGCCCAATGCCCGCCTCTAGCTTCGGCTTCGAGTCTCAGTGCCGGTCCGGGACCTGGGGGCTGCTCCAAGGGGCTGGCCCGGTCCGGCCAGGAGTGGTGAGAAGACGTCCCCGCCCCTCAGTCAGATTCGCGCCGCCCGGTCCGCTCGTTGTGGACAAGCTCCCTCAGGACTATGAGGGCGGGAGCAGAGAAGCGGCGCCGCCACTGTCGCGGCCCGGATCGCCCCGCCTCTGGGGCTCCGGGGGCTGAAACCCAGACTTGCGCAACTACGGCCGCGGCCAACCTGGTCTCATGATAGCCGCCCGCCGCCTCTAGTTCCACAAGCCCCTGTCCCTTCACGCACTCCCGCGCGGCTGCTCTTCTCCGGCCGCACGCAGGGGTTACCCACAAGCCCTTCCGCCCGCGGCCGCCGCCGCCGCCCGCTCCGCCCTCCCGCGCGCCGCCGCCAGCTCCGCCCCCGCCCGCTGGGCCAGGCTCCGCGGCCTTTGCCTGCGCTCCCTCTGCTTCCTTTCTCTCCTCGTCCCTCTTCCTTGCTGTTTTTTTTTTTTTCCTTTTCCTCCTTTCCGCTGTCTTTCGCTTCTCTCCGTTTTGCGCCTCTTTCTCCCGGGTTTCCTCCTCCTCCCCCTTTTTAGAGCTCCAAAAGGGCTAAATAGCTGAAGGCGCTGTCACTGCCTCGCCTGACGCGCAGAACTTAAGCTGGGGGAAGGGAAAGCGCGCCTGGGTCGGCGATCAGTCCGAGATTCCTTTCTCCTCCCGCCTGACCGCCCTGCGGTGGACTACGCGGACTCTGAGGCCTTCTCCCCAAACCTGACTGCCCGGTCCTGAAGCCGCCAGAGGGGGGGCGGGGCAGGGCTCCGCGGCCTTCGCGCCCGGGCTGGGGGCTGGGCCCAGCTGAGCCCCCCGCCCTGGCCCCTGCTGACTCAGCGCGCAGCTATGCGGACCTTGCATCACCCGTGCCAAAATAATAGCGACCGCGAATCGTTGCCCTCGCCTGCAGAGGTCTTTGCTTGCTAAGAGCCTGCCTGAGCCACAAAAGATGAGGAGAAGGGATGACAGGGGTGTGCACTGTGTGCATTGGGTGTCGGGAATTCTGAAAGAGGAAAGGAAGTATTTGAAATCTTAGTTCTGGGGCTGGAGGGGCCTGGAAGAGCTGCTTTCTCCCTGCGGCAGAAGGCCTGGGAGCCCGAAGATTTTCTCCCTGCCCGTGACAGTGTCTCCCAGCATGGATTTAACATTAACCATGAAGAGAACCGAAAAGCGGTAAAAAATGCTTTCCATCCCCGGCCCTTCACGAGGTCCTTGCCTTTTGGGGGGAGGTTAGAGGCTGATCCTCCACATTCCTGCTCGTCGCGGCCAGTACCATTTGTTAGATCTGCCCAGGGCGCAATCTGAAAAATATGTACCAAGACCTATAAAACTATTCATTGAGCCCCTTTGGCCCAGTAAATCCATTTAAGGAAGTTCATTTCTAAGGAAATGATCCAAAGGGGGGAGGAAAAGATGTTTACAGCAGGGTTATTCAGAATGCTCATAATGATCAAAACCTGGAGTGAACCCAATTGCCCAACAATTGGAGAATAATCTAAATAAGTTCTGTCACATTAATAGAAAAGAATCCTGGTAGGTATGCAAACTGTCAAGCACATGAAATTTTGGCAAGGACATGAAAAAGCACTGCAAATAAGGTTACATGAAACACAAAATCCCAAATAGTTTCTACACACTAACGACAACTAGGTAAAATAAGCATCTAATGGGAGAATACAAAATACAGTTGTATTAAATTAATAGGATTTTATGCATCTAATGGGAGAATACAAAATACAGTTGTATTAAATTAATAGGATTTTATTCTGTAAAGATGCTTAAGAATAGATTAAAATTTAAAAAGTTAAAATAATTTTATTTAGATAAGCCATTCCAAAAAAGCTGCAACCTGATAATTTATTAATTACTAAGAGTTGTAAGCACCTTTCCCACTGGCATGTCGGGGATAAGTGCACAGATAGGCAGGAAACTTAGTTCGAAAGCTATGGCCCTGTAGAAGCAGCATTTTAGTCAGTAAATATACTAAGAACCTCTTGGTTTTGTGAAGTCACCCTTACTTGGTATGGCCTGGGTGATGCAATAACATTTTCATCTCAGAAAGTAACACCAATTTATGGCCAAAAGGTAAGACGTTAAGTCTGTTTGCAAGTTTTGAGTGATTCCTTCATACCTCCACAAAACTGAGCACCTAGAGGACACAGTGGGGAGCTCTGGTAGCGTAGTGGCTAAGGCACTTTACTAATCATAAGGCTGGCGGTTCAAACCCACCAGCCACTCCTCGGAAGGAAGATGAGGCATTCTACTTCCGTAATGATTCTGCCTCGGAAACCCAAGGAGGGGTCGCTATGAGTCGGGTCCAACTCATAGGCACGTAACTACAACAACAGAGGACACAGCTGGACACTTGTCCTGCTTATGCATTCGAGCAAAATAACAAGATTATCCATGATTGAGGATTCTTTTTCCTAGTGACAATATAATATGCAAAGCAAAAGGAACACCCTGTGGTTCTCAGGTTCCAAGATAATTTTGTGATGACTGGCTGTGTATTTTAATGGAGCTTGGTAGGGCAACGAGAGAAAACTAATCTCTTAATATGAGTTAAGCTCCCCCCCTCCGCTTTTTTTTGGTCCATAAAATAGTTCTTGTTTTAATACAGTAATGCACAAATGTGTTCTGTAAAAATTCAAACAAACCAGAAATATATGGAACATAACCTAAAGATTCACTCTTCAAATTATCCCTACACCCACAGTCTCTTATCATTTAAGGTCTATATTCATTCTCATACATTTGTATATATATGCATGCATCTTTTTCCCACATATAAAGAATTATACCGTATCAAGGTTAGGCAACTTGATTTTTTTCCCCTTGATTGATAATACGTCTTGCAGACATATCTGTCCTTTCACAGAGATCTACATCATTCTTTTTTAACTGCTTTTCTGCCACTCCGCAGAAGGAAGACTGGGAAATTTACTTCCATAAAGATTTACTGCCCCTGAAACCCAAAGGGGGTCGCTGTGAGTCAGGATAGACTTTATGGCAGTGAGTTTGGGTTTTTCTGTATCCCGTAGGAGTCCCTGGGTGGTGCAAATAGTTAATGTGCCTGGCTGCTAAACTGAAAGGCTGGAGGTTCAAGTCCACCCAGAGGCACCTTGGAAGTTGTGACGATCAACTTCTAAAAATTCAGTCACTGAAAATCCTATGGAGCACAGTTCTCTGACACACATGAGGTTGCCATGATTTGGCAACTGCTACTGTATGCCGTACTATGGATGTACCATAATTTATCTAACCTTGGCATAATGGTTAAGAACAGACTCTGCAGCAAATTGCTTGGGCTAAAATCCTGCCTCTACCACACACTAGTTGTGCAACCTTAAGCAAGTTTCCTAATTTCTCCGTCTCAATTTCCTTACAGTGTTTGTTGTAAAATGCTTAGAACAGTGCTGGCACTATATAAATGTTAAATACTACTATTTTCTGTTTTTCTCACTGTCATAAACATTGACACAGTTGACATTCTTATATCTTTGTCTTCACATGGACATATTTGAATAGTGTAGACTCCTAGAAGTGGAATTGTTATATCAAAGTGTAGACATACTGTACATAGTTACAGATACTGCCAAAATGTCCTTTAAAAAGACTACTAGTTTACATTCTCACCATCAGTAAATGGCTATCTATTTCCCTTCATCTTTGCATTGTTAAATATTATAAATGTTTTTAATTTTTACCAATTTGATGAGCAAATAAAAGGGGTCTTGTTTACATTGGTATTCCCTTAAGATGAGATTTTTGCGTGTGTATTTTTCTGAAATCACCTATTGAAATAATGTGTCCATTGAATTTGTCCTTTTCTTTCTAATTTATGTTGTTGTTAGGTGCCATCAAGTCAGCTTCAACTTATAGCTACTCTCTATACAAATTTATAAGAACTCTCTATGCATTATGGATATTCCTCTTTGTTACAATGTTAAAATACGTGTTTTAGCTTGCAAATATTTTCTGCCAGTCTGTTGCTTGTACTCTAGTCTTGTTTATACTATCTTTTTTCATACAAAAGTTTTTACCTTTTATGAAATAAAATCTGTCAGTATTTCCCTTCGTGGCTTCTGAGTATGTATGTTTATATGTGTAGCTTGGGAAAGCTTTTAAATACAATTTTCAGGTCGCCCAAATGACTGAAATTTCAAAAGACTATAAGGAAATGACAGTTTCTTAAAACATCAAATCCAATTCATCCCAAATTAGCTGTAGAAGGAGGGTCTCCTGCACTGGCTCTTCGCTGAGGTGTCTCGGGTTCCTACTGCTGCTCCATGACTCTGTTTCAGATTGATTGCTTCCTTTTTAACTCTGTCCCTGATGTGCCTGAGCCCAGGTAAGAGAGAAAGGAACTTAGACGTCTAACAGTTGTGTTCAGTACTAAGAGAAAACAATGGGGGAAATAAACACGGCATGCGTAGGAAATTTAAACAGGCTGGCCTATCAATGTATAAAGCTTTGATTCTACCATAACTAGCTTGTTCTTTGAACTTAAAAGCTCCCTCCCATTTCATATGGACTTTGTATGTCTTTCTTTTCTGTGTCTTTATTCCCAGCCTGTGTTTAAGTGATTAGTGTCAATTTAACATGCACCTCTCAACAATACCTTCCTAACTCTCTCTGCACTTACTTCTTAGTCCAAACTGAAGGAACAGGGCCTCCTTTCTTGCCACCTGAAGCCCATCTCCTCAGTTCTAGTTTGTAATTTGAGAAATCTTTTTCCTCAGGAATTAATTCACCCTTCAAGAGCAATCTTACCCTCTTAACCCATAGATAGGGCTGTAAAAAGATCTGGTTTTTGAGGACTTTTTTTTTTGGGGGGGGGGGGCTCTTTCGATGTAGTAATTTACTTGATTAATTAAAATTATTATTATTATTTATTTACTAGATTACAATATACCAGTTAGT